AGATGTAAGATGGAAGAAGCCTTTTTATGTACTCGTACGCACCACACAGTAGAGGAAGCTTCGTCGAGGATACTCCCATGTCATGAGGGACCACATACGAAGCATGAATGGAGCATAAAGGGGCTGAGACGCCAGATACAATCTATTCAGATGAGTATGAGAGCCGACCAATGATCCAAAAACTGTGAGGTTCTTACCTGGTTATGGTACCTTGGAATCCACCAAAGGTAAACGTGTAGGTTTTACGATGGGGTCTTGGTAGATAGGGAACAATCCATTCCTAATCAACATTAGAAAACCTTATCTTTTGCATGTAGGAAGGCAGCTTACCATCGCAACATACTCGGCAGGTGAGCGACCATACCAATGTCCCTCATTTAGTAGAGTGTATGTCATGTTGGAATGGTCCTTGATTGTTTGTGCCGTTTGAATGGTTGTATCTGTCACAACAGTTGCAGCGTTGCTCACTGCGGCGACAGGCGATGACACGGTCTGCGAGATGATGGCAGGGATGGAAGTTGTAGTATCCTGATCTAGTCTCCATTCTTCATCATCATCCTCACTAGCTACTTCAGGTTCTTCTTTAGCGGGAATGGTTATCCCACTGGGCACAACATCGTCTTTTCCGGGTATCGTCGGTGGAAGCTCTTGGGGCATCTGTACCTCGTGTACTTGCTATATCGAGGCGATATATATCAGATATATTCCCAATAAATGAGCACCTCACTCACCCTTGCAAAGACACGTAAGAACCGGTTCACCTCTTCATCTTCATAGCTTCGTCGCAACTCGTCAACTGAGAGCTCTTGAACCTCTCCGGTTTGCTCATTCTTAATGATGACATTTCCCGTTTCCGGGTTTCCGAGCGCTGTTGTCGGTGATTGTACAAGTTCTTGGAGAGTATTGATGGCTGTAGCGATGCGTGTGGATGGGGTCAAGGAGGTCGCAGAAGTGGCGGCCTCTGGATTGGTCTGGATGGCGAGCGGGTTCTGGAGAACGTCTTTTGCCAGCGGTGTTCCAGCTTGAATATGAATAACTGGCGTCTGATTTACGGGCTCAGTCATGGTCGCTGTCCCCGTTGGGGCTCCCGTCAACTGCATTGTGATGGCCGAGGACCTGGACTGCTTTTAAAAGGGGGAGAATGAAAAAAGAGTTGAAGAACAGAGAAGATGAGTTGAGGAAATGTTTATATCGAGAATATCCAGGCCTGCCTTCGAGTGCATTCTACAACGTCATCAGCGATGTCGCCTCGCTGCATCACTGCCGCTGGCTCCGCACTGCGTCATTCAGTCTTCACTCCACCTTTTTAAAAAAACTAAAATGAATATATTTCAACGACTCTATAACCAGCTGAGAACAAATACAACTCGTATGTTTATATGCCAAAAAATGTGAACAAGGCAGGAAAATAATATGGTACTTTTACTTGGTTGCATATAGGTTGGTGTAGCTAAGATATGATGTTTTCGCCTCCGCATTCGCCACCGCGTTGCTCTTTCTGCCCCTTCGTGGTTCAGCGGGCTTGGCACTTGCAGCGAGATCCTATAGAGTGGTCAGAGAGGTAAAGCATAGAACGATAAGGCTCACCTTGAGTCGGGCTTGCATGCCACCGAGTATGAAGGGCCTCCATTGCGTAAATGCCTTGTCAAGCGCATTCTCGCGTATTCCTTTGGGGTTAAGCCATTGTAGATATGCTTCGACCTGTATTTACCGAGTCAGAAAGGACTCTTCCGAGTTTATAATCTACACACCTCTTCGGGAGTTTCATACCAGCACCACTCTCCAGGTGCAAGCAGTCCCGTTCCTTCTTCTGTCCCTCGTCGAAGACCAACGCTAGCATCGACTTCCGTCTTGGCATTAATAAGTGCCAGGTCATCCTGAGAGGGTCCCTGAATGAAAATCTTGCCAGTTCCATACTGGTACTCCCCATCATTGCCACGGAGAGTCATGCATCCCACCCCGTCGAACCACCAGACCTTGCAGTGGAACCTATCCTTTCCGAGTGGCCGCATACGAGGCAGGAGCAAGTACTGTCGGAATTCGAGTTCCAAGGTCTCCAAGCCTTGCTCGATCCTGGCCGCCTCATCCTCCAATTGCCTCATTTCATCTTCCTCTTGCTTGCTAAGATTCAAAGTGTCGTCTTTGGACTTGTCGACATCTTTCTCCTTCTTCTTCTTGTTGGCCACGCGGGCCTGGTCTTGAGCTTTGAAGCGAAGCGAAGATCTTGGGGTTCTGGCCCCACTCTTACTAGGGGTAAAGACGATATCGGAGGTGGACGCGCTCGCCATGAGTTCATCAGAGGGTGCTTCAGAAGCAGTCGTGTCCATCGTAAGGTCCGCAACATTCGCAGCGAGCAAATCTTCAGAGTCATGATCACTGTCCTGAGA